TGTGTCTCTGTGTTTCGTACTTTTGAATTTAGGGCTTTTAACATTTGCCTGCCTGGCTCTTCCTTTTTTTTTTTTTTTTTTTTTTTTTTTTAACTTTCAGTTACCAGTAAGTGCTAAAGCAGAAAAGCAGCAAGAGAAAGAGCTTTCACCAGCAGGAATCTGTTTTCTCCAGAGGATGGCTCTGGCCTTTTACAGAGGTTGATTTGGGAATATTTTTCTGTCCGGTTCTCCTTTTAGGGTGAGGTGTTGGCCCAGCCCTAACAAAATCTTAAAGGCCATCTGGGATGGAAGAGGACTATGGGTAGAAAAAGAACAAGGACAAAAAAACATACTGTGGGGCACAACACACGAAAAGGAACAATGTAAGGATGATAGGATTTAAATGATTAACTAGGAGCCCAGCAGGGACCCTGGCAGCACCCCTTGCTCCCTGAAGGGTATCTGCAGAGCTGCAGGGCAATGCCTGGTGGTGCTCTATCCAGGATATGAGAGGACATCAGACACAGCGTAGTCACCAGGACCACAGCCTCTAACTTCCCCTTCCTCATAGCCTAGATGACCAGGAAGAGATTCCCCAGATCTGTGGTATCTCTGATAGAGAGTTTATATAAAAATGTGAAGAGAAGAATGTAGCCAGAACTGCAATAAGATAATTAGACCTTAATTGGAGCCTAACCTTGACTAACCCATGAGATGCTGAAATACCATTTGAAAAGCTATTCTAAGGACAGAATTTTCTCACTAGCTTTTAAGCCATTTTTTAAGGAGAATAAAGACTCCCTTTTATTGTTTTTTCTTACAATCTCAAAAGTAGACATCAGGCTAACCCAGTTTCACTAATTTGTTTTGGAAGAGGCCACTCAAATTTCTTTCCTGACTTAATGTACTAGATATGCTTTCTAGCTTTGTAATATTTTGCTACGTGTGAGAACTACTCAGAATAAAATACTATTTAATAAATATAATGAAGAAGGTTTCAAAATAGACCTCTTAGTGTTCCATTTGATTGTATTTCTTTGATGGACTGATTTAATTTGTAAACAAAATCTACACACTTTTATTTTTTCTGATATGAGTTAGCATATTTGCTAAATAAATGCCACCTGCTAATTTCTTTCCACTTACATTTGAAATATTTGAGATCTAGCTCCACTCACCTGGGAGAGATATTCCTCATAGACATCTGTGAATACTGGACGCGTATATACAAAAACTGGAAGAGGATGAGTAGAATTAGAGACATACGAAATTCTAATGGCTTCTCGAACTCTGTTGCGAACAAAGAGTTGGGCATTTCTGGAAGATCTTAAGGCTGTCTCTAGATAGACAGATGGATAAAGTGCTGTGCTTTCCTCCCACAACCAATTAAGCTCATTATTTCTTTCTATTTCAATATCTAAACAGGTTCCCGTATAATTATGTGGGTTTTGTTTGTAATCATAGTTATAACAGTCTGGATAAAGGTAATATCCCCACAGACGATTTGGCTTCAATTTTATGCCCAGTTTTAAAGATTCCAACATAATTGATTTTGCTGCAGCTTCAAATTCCATTTTAGCTATATTCCTGGCTTCGGCTTCTGATAGACTGAGGTCTCTCTGCTGAACCAGTTCAATGGATTCCTGTCTATAAATGTCTTTTGATCCCCAGTTCCTTATCCACACAGGTCTCCAGTTTTCCCAGTCAATGACAGCCAATCCAAAATGTTCATCTGAAGGAATATAGAACTGAATGTCCTCTTTGGCTTTTTTCAAATGATTCTCCAGCAGCGACAGTTGGGGGAGACCTCCATTGAACGCCTCTCCTGTGATTTCATTTTTGTAAGGATAATAGCCAAGCCTGTCGGGGTAGAAGAGAGTGATGTTTTGCCCAGTGGATGTCTTCAGGGTGCTTCCAACGAGAGAAAAAAAGTCCATGTCCAGCTGCACTCCAGTCCTTTCAGTACAAAGTTCTGTAGGAGCATTCCAGATGGAAAGGAAAGGTGAATTAGAAACAAGTGGACGCGCTCTTATGTTCGGAGATGAGCAGCAAGAAACTAGAAGAGTGGCGAACACCATACCAGATGCTATAGGATACCTACAGGTAACGCAGATACCAAAACTTTCTCTTAGGGTTTCCATTGTACCATGTGCAATGACATTAGGTGCTTCTCATTAGGCAAGAATTAAATACTTTCTGTGTGTTCAGAAGGTTGGTAGTCTGTCAAAAGCGATACCATACAATATATTTCTTCAGATGAGTACCTATTAAGCAGTATTCCTTAGGTGTAAAATAGGAGTGTCCTTTATATGAGGCTTTCTGTCATTTCAGACTGCAGGACACTTTTCAACAACTTCTGAGACCTAATACAGAAAAAGAAAAAAATGTAAATAAAGTAAGAGATGATAAATATTTCATTTCTAACCATGAAAGAAATACCATTTGTGATTCTGAATACGTTGTAATCTTTGAATAAAATTCCTCTTTGAAGGAAAAGCACAATGTACAATCACAGAGGAAATAAATTCTCTCTATATAAAATTGTATATATATATAAAGTAGACATAAAACTGTCAGTGGAGTGGTATCCAGTGAGTCATGGATCAGAATGAGTTTGCTCGGTGGTAGTCCTGATTGTGCCAGTGATTGGTGTATGTAAAAGTGAGCAGTCTCACAATGTCTTCTCTTAATCAACAGTAATCTATATGTGATATTTCTCACCTATGTCAAAATGAAGTTCTAGGTCGTAATTCACTGATTTTTCAGAGCACGTAAGGGAAGATACAAAATAACACAGAACTAGAACCTGGAATGTTCCATTTCATGCAAGAAAACAATCCACATACACTCATTTAACTCAGTGAGGTATCTGAAATATTATAGGCATTCTGTCTTCTCTCCAGAGCTCTTTTAAACAGGCTCAAAAGCTGTGTATCATCTTGATGCATGGCCATCTATATGATGCTTGAGGCCATTTGAGAGCTACAGATTAAGTGACCCCAAGTCCAGGTCTGCCCAGGAGTGTAGTTAATTAGGAAAGCTGAGGTTGTCCAAACACCCAACAGTGAGTCCTCACACTTTTATTCAATAACATAATGGTAGTGGTGGTAGTCATGGTGCAGTCAGCAACTTTTACATAGTAGCCCAGTACCTAAAGCATTCCTCTGTGCAGTAACTCACCTGAATCCACTCTTCTCCTTATTTTGAAATGGTTTAAACCTGGATCTGTCACTTTCCATAGAGATCTCACGATAAGGCCTTAGAATGTCTGTCTAAGGAGCATATAAGAGTGTGCACAAAAATATAGGAGACACCAGGAAGTGGGCCACAAGGTGGCTGGAAATGTAAATCTCTGAGAACAGATATAAAAAAGCAAACAAGATTTTTATTTGCATTTACTAAATTCAGCTAGGAACGGAAACCACAAATCTCTGGTCCCTACATCTTGAATTGTCTCTCTACTTCTGTTTGTCATTTCTGTGTCTACTTAGTGTAAAATTTGTAAGCTGTATGGGCGCAGAATCTTAGATTCATACAGTGCATACAGACAACAGGTTGCGGTTATTATCCATTTGTATTTTTTTAATCATCCCTCTGGCTGCATAATTTTTCTTCAATTTATTTCAATAAAAAGGCAGAATGACTCCATCCATCAAATTGTTGCATACCCCAAAAGGCTTGACAGTGTAACGAGAGGCTGATGGAAACTTGAACCTTCCTAAATCCAGCCTCAGGCCAGGTTCACAGCAGAGATTGTTGTAGTAGTACAGTGAGATTCCCTCTGTGTTCACTGGGTTTGGTCATATTTGAATCTACTGAAAAATCCAGATTTGCTTTGATTATGAGAGAAAAGCATGTGTGAAAGGAATTAT